AATCGTTTAAGCAGATTCCAAAGTCCAACACCAGTCTTTGGTGTAATGACACATCGGCAAAACTGAGCGTGAGATTTGTTGAAATCTGGGGAAATAGTTATCTGTAGCAGACACCAGTATGGCGTGCCCGAAGTGAAACAGGCTCCATAAAGATCATAAAAAGCTAAACTAAGAAAAATGGTCGCAAGTAGCTGCGTGAATGTAGCATACCAGACTGTAACCAAACGGACTGATGATTGTATTGAGAGAGAGAGAGAGAAATCGCCCTGGGTACTGATGTAATTTGTCGGAAAACTCTAACTTTGTACGTTGTTGAAGTGTGGAATCAAGATCTGAAATCAAAAATATTGACAGCATCGGACCATGAAACTTGAACTTTACAACACGTTGTAACATAAAGATGCATAGAAATTGTACCTCTGCCAATGTGGCATCTGCAGAAGACTGGAAGGTGACCTTGAGATGATTCATCCGCTGGAAGGGATACAGACAAGGTCGGCTTCTTAACGCATATGATATTTTATGAAGAGGTGATTTTGAAAAAAGCCAAGGCATAAAATGACAAAGTTAGGCTAATCAAGTCCGGCGTTGCAACTGACCACTTGTTGACCTATGATATCTAAAAACATGTCTCTGAAGAAGGATGATAAGAATGTCCCGCCCTTCTACTGGACGCGCAACTCCAGTGTATGGGTAGCCAAAATGACAGGTTCGATTGGTGCTTCATCTCAGAAGTGAAAAGTACCTAATCACCGTTATTCAAGGAAATAGTTAAGCACGTTCTGCTTTCTGAATTTTAGTCTTATATCATGGTTATGTTATAGACTTTGTAATTATGAGGTCTTTCACGAAAACATTTAGAAGTTGCGCTGGACGGTTCTTAAGTAATGGTTTTACCTGATGACTTCCAACTCTCCAGATAGACGAAGAAATCGTTTTGACACTGCTCCGGTTTTAATTCAGACATTTCGTTCTTCCCAAGGCTTGCTTCTACATGGAAGTAAAATGCCCTAAATGCATGAGTGGAGGAACACTTAGGGCTTAAACAGGCAAATAAGAATTTATGGTTTAACGTTAGCATATGCTGCATTCTTTCTCACACATATGCCAGTTTGTATCATGTGCAACGGGACCTGTAACGAGACCCCGAGCGTGCAAGTACTACCGTGTAAGAGACGGCGAACGTTCAACTTGTCACAAGTACTTCCTCTCAGAAGTTGTTACGTGAAGGAAATGTACACAATATACTACATGTAATGTATACTGCGTATATAAAGTATAAGTGACAAATTCAGCACACCACCGATCAAGCACTTGCGTGGATGAATGGCGGTGTGCGCGAACTGCTGTCCAAAAGAATTTGTAGAACATGTGGCTTTAGTTTTTCTTCTTTGTTAACAGTCACTATTTTGTAGTAAACTCAACTCATAAATCCTTTGTTCATTCCAATTTACACATCTGTCCCGAGGTCATGGGTGACAGACCAGAAAATGTCGACTACTTATTATCAGGAAGGTCAGCTTCCTGAACATCTGTCCCGATGGGTGACAGACCAGAAAATGTCGACTACTTATTATCAGGAAGGTCAGCTTCCTGAAAGCAACCACTGAATGCCCGGAACGGAATGAGTCTCTCAGCTCCGCTGGGTGTTGACCAGATAGACAACGCCTCCTCAATATGCAGCGCGTCGCAGCCTTGCATCAAACCCAGACAGCGCGATTCAGCGTTGATCAAGGTCAGACAACGCCTCCGTAATATGCAGCACGTCACTGCCTCGTACCAAAGCCAGACCGCGTGCGTCAGCATTGGACCGAGTTCAGACAGTGTCCTCCCAATAAAAAGCTTGAGGCCGTTGTAATTTTCGCACTCGCATGCTCTCGCGCTCTCGCAACCACTTTGTTGGAATATAGCTATTGTGTTCCCTTCCGTGAGCCTTTTTCTCTCCGACACTAGGCACTGAAGCGGGTCAGCAGCAGATACCACAGGCCGGCGAATCAGCAGATATAACAGATTTGCGATGCACGAACCCACAGAATCATGACAATAACTGCTGAAGCGTTGAAAGAAATTCTCCTGCAACAACAAAACCAGTTTGAAGCGGCGCAATTACGTTTGACGGAAACATTGACGCAGCAACTGAAAATTCAACCACCAAATTCCGCTCCAGATACAAATTCAGTCGACTCGATCGCCAACAGCATCACTGAATTCCATTATGACCCTGATGCCGGCCTAACCTTCGATTCGTCGTTCAGGCGTTAAGAAGATGTTTTCCAAGTCGAACTGAAGCACACAGATGATGCCTGGAGAGTACGCTTATTGCTCAGAAAGCTTGGCACAACGGAACACACACGGTATTCCAACTTTATCCTGCCTAAGAACACGCGACATCTCAGTTTTGACAAAACCGTGCAGCAACTTTCAATGATTTTCGGTGAGCGTTCGTTCTTGTTTAATATTCGCTACCAATGTATGAAACTGGCGAAAACGGAGTCTGAGGACTATACCACTTATGCCCGTAGAGTCAACCTTGAATGCGAACAATTCAAGTTATCTACCATAACGGAAGACCAGTTCAAGTGCCTTATTTTCAGATGTGGTCTTCAATCGCATTCAGACAGTGACATCAGGGCGAGAATATTGAGCAAGATTGAACAAACTTCCGAGATAACGCTGCAGTCAATTACCCATGAGTGCCATCGCCTTTTAAATCTTAAGCATGACACGACCATGTTGGAGAAGCCCTTATCCAACCCTGCTTTCAACATTACCAAGACGACATCGAAGCAACCTCCTGTGGTGACAAAGTCGAATAGAGCAAAGCCTCCTTCAGCATGCTGGCAATGCGGCGAATGGCATTTTGTGCGATTGTATCCGTATAAAAAGCACAAATGTTCAGTGTGCAATCGACGTGGACACAAGGAAAGCCAGTGCCGGACGCGGAAAGCTAGCCAAAGACGTAGTCAGACCCGGAGGTCACGAAGTAAACGGAGCCAATCAGGACCGGAAGTCCGTGCTGTGGTGTTGGATACCATGAACCAACTACCCGTGACTTTTGACGCGGTGCGAGATGCCACCAAAAATGACAACATATTACAAAAGGCAATGGAGTACCACCAATCAAGCTGGCCAACAACCAGTCCACAAGGGGAACTCCGGAAACTTTTTCAGCGACGGAGTTCATTATCTGTTGTCAATGGCTGTCTTCTCTTTGGTGACCGAATTGTCATTCCCACCGAACTTCGTCAACGGGTCTTAGCACAGTTCCACAGTGGACATCCAGGGATAAGCCGCATGAAGGCTCTTGCTTGCAGCTATGTCTACTGGCCCGGTATGAATGAGCATATTGAACAGTTATGTCGGAGTTGTTTCCGTTGCGCAGCTGCCCAGAAGTTACCCAACCGACAGTCACCTCAGCCTTGGCCACAGCCAGAAAAACCATGGTCGCGCATCCATGTGGATTTTGCCGGACCAATTAACGGACAAAGCTTCCTCATCGTTGTCGATGCATTCAGTAAGTGGCCTGAAGTCTTTATTATGTCGGAGACAACAACGATGGCAACCATCACTAAACTGCGACATTTGTTTTCAATATTTGGTATCCCGGAAACTATTGTGTCCGACAATGGTACTCAGTTTACATCCCATCAGTTTAGCGAATTCGTTCGAAGACACGGCATCACACATGTTACTTCTCCATCATTCCATCCCCAATCCAACGGTCAAGCTGAACGGTTCGTTGACACCTTTAAACGTGCGTTGGCCAAAGCAGAAGGGGAGGGGACCACGACAGAATTTCTGGATACGTTCCTGCTGGACTATAGAGCAACTCCTAATCCACAGTCTCCGGACGGTCGCTCTCCAGCAGAGGTTATGGTGAGCAGACGGTTGAGACTTGCCCATGACGTTATCCTACCAACACTTACATGTTTTCAATCACCGACAAGAGGGAAGCCAACATTCCGGCCTGGCAACCGTGTGCTTGTGAGGGACTATCGCCCCGGGCACCGAAGATGGACTTTTGGAGTCGTCCTCAAAAGAATCGGTCAGGTGACTTACAGCTTTCAAGTGGGATCATTGATATGGAAACGACATGTCAACCAATTACGGCCGACTCAGTGACAGATCCTAAAGGCGGAAGAACAGTTACTAGACCCCAACCTACTGCATGAAACCTTTGACCTCCCAAGACCAACACCTACAGCCACTGCTACGCGTGTACCGCTCAAGACAGATCCATTGCTGCAACCAAGACGCCGTACCGGTCGCACCAGAAAGAGGGTGGAACCCCTACAACTTGATCCGCGACGAAAATCTTACGCTGAACGTTCAGAAGGGGGAGGTATCAGGAAGGTCAGCTTCCTGAAAGCAACCACTGAATGCCCGGAAGCTACGGAGACTCTCAGCTCCGCTGGGTGTTGACCAGACAGACAACGCCCCCTCAATATGCAGCGCGTCACAGCCTTGCATCAAACCCAGACAGCGCGAGTCAGCGTTGATCAAGGACAGACAACGCCTCCGCAATATGCAGCACGTCGCTGCCTCGTACTAAAGCCAGACCGCGTGCGTCAGCATTGGACCAAGTTCAGACAGTGTCCTTCCAATAAAAAGCTTGAGGCCGTTGTACTTTTCGCACTCGCACGCACTCGCGCTCTCGCAACCACTTTGTTGGAATATAGCTATTGTGTTCCCTTCCGTGAGCCTTTTTCTCTCCGACACTAGGCACTGGAGCGGGTCAGCAGCAGATACCACAGGCCGGCGAATCAGCATATATAACACTTATGTATCTATGTATTATATAGTTTTACACGGGCTCTACCAGAAAAATTCATACATTTATGAATAAATGTCAAATCAGCCTTTAAGTAACCGGTAATAAGAAAGTCTGAAAACCACTACAAGATTTATACCGCGGCACATGTTAATGACTGTTTAGGCACCGCAAACAATGATTAGTACCTTTGGATAAAACTAAGCCTCATCCTTGTGAAAAATCAACAATGTCTGTCACATTTGCAGCTATTAGAAAGTAAGTTTTGACCTTCAATCTCTGGGTTCAAGTTATGGCTGACATTCATTCGTCTCTGTGCATTTTACCACGTGGCCAGAACCATAACGGCCTCATGCATGTGTAAATATCAAATATAGATAGAGAAATGCTTTAAATACGGAGTGGCGATGTAGAGTAGAAGAAAAAGAGTCGCAGCGGAATTCGCTGGAATTAGTAATAATTTTCAATGGCAACTCCAAGCAAGCCTCAGTAATTTCTAGTAAGGACTGGACGATAACGCGGCTAGCTGACATTAGTGGCATTCATGCCATCAGTTTCTCTCCGGATAGTCTGATCGAGTGTTGGGGATGTAAGCACCTCAAATTGTTCGTAGTAGTCTATCTCTAGGTTCCGTTTCCATTATGAGGCTTTCTCCGAATAAAATGACATAGTTGTGTGGCACCGAAGCAACCGCATTCTCCTCCGGTGATGCATTACTTTTTATTGACTATCGTATGAGAGATATGCGTAGTGTCTGGTGAGATTCGCGGGTCATGGGTTGGAAACGAGTCAGGATGTGAATTGAGGTGGACGGTTTTTTGAGTTAAGTGTGTCTAGGAAGTTTTTAATCGGCGTCAATAGAATGTATTAGTCTACGGAAGCGTTCAGTTGGTGATGCACAAGAATAATGGGAATATCATCAGGCTGGCATTTTGAGCCACTTGGACAGCGTACTCGGTCTTTTCCACTAAAAGTCAAAACAACCCTATAAATGAAAACGTTGTTCGGAGCATCAGTTGATCCCAATAAATAGTCCAGTCGTATTCGTGATCTATTTGGCATGCGGCAAATTTCTGGGCGTTTTTCCCGAGGTCTTAGTCATTTTTGTTTGTTAAAGCTCTTTCTCTAATCTGGCTCTAGAGCAATGGATTTGGATACGGTTTTGGAGACGGAATTTCGTGAAGTAGACAAGAACAGAGATGGTGCGCTAAGCCTGAGTGAAATCGCCGATTGCCTCGAAAGATTCGGTTTTAAAAAGTCAAGAGCAAAAGTGAGTGACGACAATCATCGGGTGCGGTCATGATGAACTATTCCAGCTTTTATTAACTTAGAGTTTCAGATGCATTTTGGCTAGAGTTTCTCCTTTGGTCGTTGCCGAATCAAATTGGCCTTTGCTTACTTAATCGTGACTGACTTATTTCTGCCATAACCGGAGAAAATGTAGTGTTTGAGTTGATCAGATAAATAGCTTCCACACACATGACCAGATTACCGGAAACACTGGAAAAGTAACTTATCTATGGAGAGAGATACCCAACCGCGCACCGACGATTTCTCCTCGTATTCTAACAGAGAACGATCGCCTGGCTCGGCAAACAGACCAACTTCCAACTGATCAAACAATAAACTCACCCGAGCTCTTCTTTTCCTTGCTCGCTGCATATATTACGCGTGGTAGACGCATGCAACATGTTCACCGTTGTTCAGGCCCTGTATAAATTTGTCCGCTCAAAGAACAAAATTAAATTCCGTTGAGTGACGAAAATTTCAGTTGATAGGGTTATGTTTTGTCCACGTTCATATATATGGGATCCACGTCAATCAGCTTTCTGGCGGACCGTATCGACAGTCATTTTATACTTTGACAGATCTATTGTGATTTCTTGGCCTACGTCAGGTTACAAACAAGACTCTCAATCCAGACCATGTACCATCAATCTGAAGCCACTTCAGGATAAGGGTCTGCGAGGACGAATGGATTTTTATTACAGTATTTTTTTCGGCACGGTCACAGAATGACGCACGGTGTATACAAAGACGGCCGCTAAAGTATCGATACTCTTTATAGAGGTACGATGGTTAGTTCACCATAGCACATGAGACACTTATGTTGGCTACTTAAAAATGAATGAGTCACAAGAAGTGAGGTTTGAGTTTTATTCACCTCCTCATTACTTTCATTCGTAGTCATAAGCTATTTTATAAAAATGGATGATTTTTCGCCCCGACTGATAGCAGGAGGATGAAAGTTCACGCTACTTGAGAGGCGGTTTTGTTAGTAACGTTTCACCTGTGTTTGCACTGCACTCTAAATCCCAACTTTTTAACACCAAGATATCTACCGTTTGAATTAATTTCATCAGCTGCAGCTCAGGTCATGCAATGCCTCCAGCAAAAGGACATATTATCAAGAAGGTAAACAAGTAAATTGCTTTATCAAAGGGTCACTTCCTGGATAAACACACCTTGTGAGCTAACTCAAGTTTGGCTGCAGCGTCGCCATCATTCTTACACAGAGTCAAAAGGTTACACTTAAGCTACCGTAGGAATAGAAGTCTTCCTTTGTAAAAAGGTTTTTGGTGAGTCAGTACCAACTAAACTAGCATTGAAAAACATATATGTACTTTGTTATTCCTAAGAATGTTTGAATACAAATTTGGTCCAATGGTACCACAAACCATGCGAGGTTGATATAACCTAGCCCAGTTCACATTAGAATTGCTCGACAATGGAGAGAAAATTCGTGCTGAAGTAATACCAGTTTTGTAGCATTCCTGAAGGAGTTTGCACTTTGACAGAGGAATGTAACGATGCTTCAGGTTTCACTCAGGCAAGACAGTTGAACAATAGCTGTCGGACAGTCAGCTGTTGTACACTTGCTCTTGTATGGTGCTATTGTTTCATTGCGAAGAAGTTTTATAACGTCATATTTCTTTGGTATTCGACCTTGATGGGTGAAATTACTTGAGTGCTCAAACAGCGTGTTGGGGGTGCATTTTTCTGTTTCAAATGTCAACGTTTGCTTTCTCGATTACGGTAGGAATTTTTGAAGAACTTTGACGAGAACAAAGATGGGAAAGTGTGCATGGAGGAATTCGTCAAAGCAACACAGAGGAAATTGTCTGCTAGGGATTACACGTAAGTTCACTCTGTCAGAACGTCAGGGTTTCTCTGCCTTTCTGACGTGTGCTTATTTCGATTATATTTTAGTGATAAATGAAAAAAGAATAAACTATGTGCTCAATGCGAACCATTCATTTTTTGCGAATGCTGGGTTTCGATAAACTCCGAACGCAAACACACCTAAAAATTCTACTGTGCTAAGACAAAACTGGTTGGTTGATTATCCAATGAAAAAGTGGCCAGACCTTGTTGTCATACTTAGTGAAATCAGAGGAAGCTTCACGCGACCGCTTATTGGCAGAACAGTCTCAGTGTCCCAAGTACTCTCACGGCTAATGAACACGTGTGGCTACGGTCCCCCTCCCCCCGCTGGTCTGAGGTCCACTTACAAGACAGGACCCGGAGTGACAACTTGTCCACAAACAAGGATATACACAGACATCACTTGTTCACTTGAATGAAACGAGTTTTAGGGACTGATGTTTCCTTTCTAGAAACCCACGAGGACATACCTGTGGAAGGATTGCATATTTGGTCATTTTACCATTTATTAATGCATTTACTATGAAATGAACCTATGAACATGCATCCAGCACTATAATTATGGATCCAAACTGGATTTTCACTAAATCACTACTAATGATGTTTGGGATGGGACAAAATTTCAGAAAGTGATGAGTAATATAAGAACCACTAGTCATGATTGGGAGAACTGAAAGGACTAGACCTGAAGTGGAAAAACTGCGACAAGTGTGTGTGGTCGCTTTTGAATATCATTCATTGGGAGGTCTGATTTGAGTTCCATTCGTCTCATCCGTAAACCTCCACAAAACACTCAGGCTAGCTGAAGCTTTCGGTGATTAGTTACCACCGAAGTGCTGCAGCAAAACTCCGGCTGATATTGAGTGGTGGATGTCCGCGTCTCTAAGTGATTTGTTGACTGTTATGTAAATTGAGGAACCAGGTCCTAAGTCGGGAAAGGGTCAGAGCTGTAGCCAACTACCAGGTTTTACCCAAATGACTCGTCCCATTCATGCTGCTGTGTCTCGGCCTCCTGATATAGGAACTGAGGCATTTCTCACCAAACGTGTCTATAAGTATAGTAATGACAGCCAACGTGCTTCGTGAATTGAGTGACTGGACATGAGAGGAGTTGAGCTGGATAAACAAAACATCAGCTCAGAGGTTTTAGACTAAACTTGCTATCTGTGGATATGGTTAAGACAAGTAGATAAGAAGAACTCAGAGTAACAAAAAAGGAAACCGACAGGCATACAAAACAACAGACGAAGAGAGGGTGCAGCACGTATAAAACAGAGAAAATAGAGAGGCAGACAGAAACAAAACGAGACAGAAGTAGAAATACAGGAAGGAAAAGAGAGAAACTAGATAAATAGATAGATAGATAGATAGATAGATAGAGAGATAGATAGATAGATAGATAGATAAACATTTTGCGACTGCCTTATTTTTTATAAACTTTTGTTATACGTTGACAAAGCTTTGCAGTTTATCACGGTGTTTGTTCCTTAAATTCTGAATGTTTTCTTTTAACGTGAAGCTTTTGCGCTGATTGTTTTAAGTTTAGTTATTTAATTTTCGAAGCCGCACTTAGGAGGAACGGTGAGAATATCGATGTTTCATTGTTGAGTCTCATCAGGGTGACTGCAAAATATCTTCTTGAAGGTTTGGTGCAAACTATGTGAAATTTTGCACCCACGTCTAGTCTAGTAGTTTGGTACCTCAGAACGACCTCACACTTTCATCACCGGTTGGATTGCACGCATCTGTAAGTTCTGAGCATCTTATATAATGTTGCAAATCGCGTATAGATCACATCCGTTCTAACTCCAAGCAGTAACATTGAAATTATGGTGAGAATCGTGGGTGGTCATGCAAGTAAAAATTGGAATGTATTTAGAAAAAATGAGCATAAATTTAAGCGATCAGCATCTACTGTAATACATTAGCTTATGCGTTCAAATAGAGTACTGAGGTACTGATGGGCTTCATCTCAAGGAGCTACCAAAGACAGTCATTTATGTCAGGTAACCTCCCTTGAGAACTGTCCATTCAAATTGCACATTTAACCTGGTCAATGGGTACCAGCTTGCAGCGTTTGGTTGGTTGCGGTAACTGACTCATCCAACTTGATATTTTGTAGAGTTTTTATCCTATTTATATTGAATGACATTACTTCAAGCTCACTTCCACCGTTCTATTCCCTGTCGCATATAAATGTTTGCTGATTATCTTAACCTATTTGTGAGTACTGTGCTCCTTCAGATGCAAGTAAATACCTGCCATTTAATCTCTCGACCTAAGTAATCACGTGATCATTGTTGCTTTTCCGGTCAAAGCTTTGACACCGGATTCTTTCTTACATAGCATCTGTGGTAGAAGACCCCGTCCAGTAAGTAGATCAGTTCCCGTATGCTACCAGTTCAGAATTCCCAAAACTTCATTCGAATAATAGTAACATTCTTGGTTGCCACAAAGCTCATGCGTTTGGTATCTAAAAGATTTGGCAGACATCAGGCTACCAATGGAACTAATTCAGCTCTTTCCCTAATGTTAAACAACCTTGAACCAAGGTTGATGGTGTATGACCAGTCAGCTGTAACACCCTTTCGGTGTTCAGCTGCCATGCCACGCGAAGGAAGCACGAGGGCTTGGATACTGCCAGGTTGCTCAAGCCTAGACAGGGGAAGTCGAGAGGCGGAGGTCGGGCTCGAACCACAGACCTTCCGGTCAGTAAATTCGCGCTCAAACCACTTGAGCCATCCCGCCCTTGCTGGATCAATCTAGTTCATAACCATACGCAGATTAGCCGAAATCATGCCTCTATTAGTTGGAGATTTTCCACTTAAAGATTATCTTCCAAAACCAAACTGATTAGACACAAAAGCATAACCTATAAAACAATATTAGTGAGTGAGCAGCTATGGGATTTGACGCTTCAAGGGGTCCAATGCTATTCTGACACCGAAAGTGCCTTTTTTATATTGCACTGAGTGTAGGTTTTTCCTTTGTAAAGTGCTTTACTAGCTAGTCACACACTATTGGCTGACATTAAATTTGCTGCTGTTTCTAGCTGGAGCCAACAAAACTCTGAATAGCCTAATCCCTACTTTTGCCAAAGACTAGCAACCAATTATTCCTCACTCTATATATCGGCCTTTCACATAATTTGAAGCATGCAAACAGTATCCGATATCTGTTTGGTGGACCCCGTGCTCACTACCGCCTCTTTGGATGAAGAAATTCAGCTTCTCTGTGATCGAGATGCATTGGTCGCATGTCCCTTGAAGTTGGGGAAAATAAAACTTGATAGAAAAATTCATGACACTGCTTAGAAACCATCTGGAGTGAAATGTCTTGAATGTTGTTACTGGTTAGTAGGGCTAATAAAGATTCATCTCAGCAAAATACACACGCGCAAAGTCAGTTAGTGGCATAGATATGATTGTCCATGTATCTGAATTATAAGTCAATAAGTTGTGCACTTATTGTTGCTTTTTGCTATCAAGAACTACTCTTCGGTTAAAACGCTTTGTGCACAATAAACCATTTCTAATTTGTAATCCAGGCGATCTTTCTGGCCCGGGTTACTTTGCCTTTCCTTGAATATTTTACGGAAATGCGGGTTTTCGCTGAATTTTATATCCTTACAAGGCAACTAAATAATTTGTGGGATATTTGTGGTGTATATTGTTGATATTCACATCACTCTCTTTTGAGCATTCATCCTCATGTCCTTGCATTATTATTCTAGTGTGACTAAATCAAAGGGTGGACTCTTGTTAGAGTTCGTTTGAAGCATATCCTTGGCCGTCTTAGGTTTTGAATTCCGCACATCTGACATGCGAGGTGAGCGTGCTACCACCACTCCATTAGCACATGGTGGTTGAATTTTCACTTCAGAACTGGCGGGCGTGACTGCCCAGCTCGACAGCCCAGCTCGAACTACGATCCAATACCTGTCCTGGATGTGCTGATCGATTGACCCGCCTGACGTAGTGCCACAGACGCCTGAATCCTGCTGGACACTTTTGGATTAGTTGTGGATGGTTGGGATTGGTTGCGTACAACGTGTGCTGATAATGTAGTGGTGACATACCCGCATCGCATTTCAGATGTGCGGAGTTCAGACCCCGGCACGACCAAGGATGTGCATTGCTGATTAGCTCTAATAAGATTGAAACTCAAGTTCAATGCTTTCTCCATTTGGTGTAGACTCACCAGAATAATTACGTACGCACAGAAGGACGGCTGTTTTAATGAGAGCGATGTGCATATGAACAATAAATAATTTGTGGAAAAATCCAATGTATTGTCGAAAGTGATATTGGTACGCTGAACTAGACCTAGCAACCATACGAGACGAGCTCAGCATCAGTGAAAACCTGATTATTTCCCCTACCAAGATCCATGCATGGTAGGTCACCATAGCAGCTTCGAATAAGATCAATTAGCCCTGTTACTTGGTTACTACCGCTCAAATTGAATAAAAGCCACTAGTTATGACAATCACAAAATTACACGCTCTTGTAACGTTGGAAGTAAGGATGATCATTCGGAACCGGAGAAATGTAGAGCAATACCTTGTTGTCCAATCCTACGTTCAAGTGTTTCAAGCAAATCCAAGATGTGGTTGTAGGCTACCTAAGCAAAAATCCCCACCAAATGGAGCCAATATATTCAGGCTTTGTACATACGACAAGCATAGTTAGTCACCTGGTAAATCTGTCTATACCAAATGGCACTTATATTGTGGGTTGTAATTAAGTCGGTTTGAAAATTGGAAGTTGCTTCTACTTCAATTCTGAGGAGATCATTTCTTGGGGGGGGGGGTTACACTGTATCTCTCCAAGATCAACTCCTGTATTATAGTGTACCCCTTTTCTATACTTTTGGCGTATTTTTCCTTTAAAGGTGCTGAAAATTGAGATAGTGCTTACATGAGTCACACTACAGCATGATCAAGAAAGACAATCTACTATTTGGTAACATGGCAACGACAATATTTAAGGTGACACAACCTCAGAACATTCATTATGTAAACTTCTCAGCAGACGAGTTGGTCGGGTATCCAGTGACGTGAACCAAATTGTATGATTGCTAGAAGTACGATCGGACACAAAGGTAGATGTTGAAGTCACCATTGATGATGATGACGACATGATAATAATGATGATGACTCCAATGTTGCTGGTCGCAGTAGGCATGACGACGTTAGCTAAATAGTTCATTGTTTTACCGACTGCGAATACATCAGCGAAGATCATGTTTCAGGTTTGATACACCGTTTCACACTTGAAGACACCGCTCACAGAGTATTTTGCTATCAGTAAAAAAAGAAGGCGTATGAATTTCACTCACTACAAATGACGGCCGTCATAAACAAATCTGAAGCCAATCTTACAATTATTATTTTCAAGCTGTAAACTGATTACTCATAATTGATTATCCATAAAATGTTAGTCAGTAAATCTACAAGATGTGTGAATTTCATCCATCAAGTTTTTTAGAAAATACCATGTAGACTTTTCATTAAATCGATAGATCCTTGTGGCATCACACGTAAATATCTAACTTCTTAGTAGTATGTTATTCCTTTCTTTTCTCCGAGGTAGAGGTTGAAATAAGCAAATTCGAAACGTTGTCTCTCAGCAACTAGGACGTGAGTGCCCATGCATAATAACTCTCACCTCACCCTGAACTTCGTAACACCCACCCTTTTTATCAGTTACGCCAAGTGACCTGACTGGTTGGTTTATAACTTGGAGTTATTTTGTAATTCCTACGTAACCAAAAGACAAAGTCAATATTTCGACTTATACACTCATCTGCATAACAATTTAGTTTTGACGGGTGATCCACCTGGAACCCAGCTGAGCCGCTCGTTTGTGATGTTCTTATCAGCTGAATGTGGTGCGCCAGGTCGCCTCATGTTTCAGTTGTCACGATATTCGAGGCACCGCAAAACACTGCGTAGACTTGATACACTACTCATAAATTTGGGGAACACTCCTGGACAGCCCACGACCGGTTTCGTAAAAGTTTTGTAGTAAGGTCACCAGGTCGCTCATGTTTCAGTTGTCACGATATTCGAGGCACCGCAAAACACTGCGTAGACTTGATACACTACTCATAAATTTGGGGAACACTCCTGGACAGCCCACGACCGGTTTCGTAAAAGTTTTGTAGTAAGGTTCCTGAAGAACTTAACGCGCGAAAGAAACCATATCAAATTGCTCATGTTAAGAGTGTTGTTGTGTGCACGGGATGAATAGCTTCTGATGAGGATGAACAAAACGAACTCACTATATCTATCTACATAGTGATTGGCAGTTCCATCAGCAATTTGCGCCATGAGATGATGGGAAACGCAAAATTTCTTTGTACCTTCCCAAAAGATATCGCCACGCCCGCCCAGCTTACAAGCGTGTCACAATCTCTGTAAGTAAAACTAGTCTTCTAACGAAGAATAATTGACGATAGTACAAGGACATTTGGTAATTTTCAAATGAGCTTTCATCCAGTCATTGAAACCAGTTTATGCTAAAAAGCCTAGAAGTATTGCTCAGTTGCTCCGTCCTTATTGAGGCTTATTAGCAGTGTGCATTTTACGGAAGTCGGATAGTTCGGCCTAAACGTAGATCAAGCCAGCTCCATGCTACTCGAAGAGCTAGATCGATTTCCGCTGCTGTCCACCATTCGTGCACAGATCATGTAAAATGTACAAACTTTGACAAATTATCTATATCCTGGAAGTGCGTAATATTACTAGGCTGAGATTAACGTTAACGGAACTCAAACGCTAGGCGCGTTCTTACAACTGGCGTTTCTCTACGGTTGATCGGTTTGATTAAAGTGAAAGCAGATGTTGTAAGTATTGTATCTTTCGAACCTTCAAATATGAACAGTGGTTGCAGATTCCTAAAGAATATGCGTTTCCTCAAATTTGATGAGTGACACGCCCAATAACTTTCTAACGAATTTTCTTTGATGAGCGTTATCAGGAAACTTAATTTGAACATGTAATATTTCCTCCACTTGTTCAGAACTGATCACAAAATCCTGTTTTTCATTCTCTATCCCTGTTTTCATCAACAGCTGTTGTCAACTGCGTCGAATGTTTCGTAGCATGGACAAAGATAATTCGGGAAAAATTTCTGGGGAAGAACTCAAAAAGTTCTTGAAAAATCAAAACAATTTGGTGTTTCCCAATGCAGTTGATCAGTGGATCGAGGATAATGATCGCGATCATGATAATGAATTGTCTTTTGAGGAGTTTGTTGACTTTGTCGGATCTCTAATGAATTGAAGCCAGGTTTAATTATTGTGCCTTTTGTCATCTCAAACAGACTACACTTACGACAAGCAAATGTATCCATTTTGAGATCGTTAATTTTGAGATAGAAATTTTAATCATTCAGCAAAATGAGGCTCATTTTACTTAGCTGCAGCTAAGAGAGGGATGAGCCCAGATTGAATGACCGCAACTTCCAAGGGATCGGCTACGAACGGTAGCGTACACATGGCAGTAAGTGGCGTTGAGTAAGCTCCATATAAAACCGTTTCAGTATAGGCCCAGTGAGGAAACAAGACAGTAAAAATTTTTGAAAATTTTGTATAGACCTCAATGGACTAGAATATGTGGAAGTAAAAATCCTTCCCAAAAGCGATGATAAATTATGTCAAATTGAGACAAGCAAAACTTAATGCACCACAGCATGCGTACTCCCAATGTTGATGCCATCTCGCTTCCTTAATGTGTTTCTTTACGGATTGTGCAACGGCTCGTGACAGGTTGAATTCAGCCCATCTTAATTTCTGGTAACTGTACACCTCAAAAGAAACGAAACATTGGTTTCGTAGTCCAGAAGTGCGAAAGCATTTTTCTGTCGCCATGAACTTCAACTTTGCCATATGATCTGTGTGGAATAATTGGATACACAATCGACTTTGTAACTTGCCACCCTGCTTACTGTGACGATGAAAAGTGAGGCTTGTGTTTGTTCGATTATTTTATGATAAAATCCCATAGCGTTTGCCCCTGTATTCGTAGAATCTTGAACTTTTTTTTCTCAGAAATATCCGGGATAATGTATTGGCTGCGTTTTCCGATCGCGGTTTAGCTAACAACTGTGACGACTTGATGATGAGCCTCATTCGCCTATCAATAACGCAATCTGATTGTTGGCTAGGCCTGAAATTCCCTGGCTCAGTCCGGCTCCAAATTCATCAAACAAACTGGGAAACGTGTCTAAATATTGGTAGCTTTGGTGGGTTAATTGGTTGTTGATTAGGTGGTAGTTACTTGGTTTGCCGACATTGGTAGTTGGTTTGCAAACGTTTCGTCGCCATGAGATGGGATGTCGCCGCGCAGAGATCCTATTTTGACATTGCTTTCTGTCCACCAAAATCCGGGATCTTACGGGAGACGGATCTCAAGCCTACGCTTCAGCAAAACAACCCCTGAATCGACCTCACTTTCAGCCGGGATCGGCCGGTAGACTTCAAGCGTTTGAGCGGAACTTGCCGAGACCCAGTGGTTAAGAGGTGAGTGAATCAGTCCGCTAGTGTCAGTACTAGCTGAAGACATTGTGCCTGAGCTTGAATCCAGTGGTCTTCGTTTGGGAATGTGAAATGTGTGGGTGATGATTTTCGTCGTACTTTATTTTGGTAACATCTGCGAGCGTCTTATTAAAACGACGTTATTTTTGCTCCTAGAGACAGCCGAGTAACAAAAGCCATCCGTGGTAGTTATGACGAACTATTCAAGCTTCAAATGAACCTTTTTAAGAGTTGTTGTTTGAGACGCAAAATCAGTCTGGCTTTTTCTCATTTTATCGTAGCTGACTTTTTATTTAAGTAAGAACCGAGCGAATAAGGTGTATGAAACGGTTAGATGAACAACGTTTCCAAACTCCACTGAGGTGCCAGAACGACTGAAACAATGAGTACTCTAGAAAGACAGACGCACGAGCGTGTACTGATGATGTCACTTCGCACGGTGCCGGAAAGTTGGCAAGTCAATTACCAAACTGGGCAAACAGATAAACTACCACCTGATAAACAACCAAACAAAATGAACGCCATGCGGTTCAGATGTGGAAAGTTTTAGCTTTCAGCTTTCCATAGGCCTTCTCAAGTTGTTTTCAACTAGATTTAGATATCAGGTTGGTCTGGTTCATTACTTTTCAGTTATTTCTGGTATCATTTCAACTGAATTTGGTTGATTAGCTGTCAGGTGTTCAGCTGCGCCAACACATACAGCCCTGAGATACATTTTTCAACCGATAGGCATAAACATGCATCTTTTAATATATCTTGTGAAAAACGCGGATAACTGAAAAAAGGATTGAAGTGTTGTTCGGTCGGAATCAAATAAGATACTCTTGAAGTAAAAATAATAATAATAAATCGTTCAGCTGCAAAACCTTTGCGGTGCCCAACTTCTGTGCGTCCCGAAGGAGGCACGAGCGCTGGGATACTGCAAGGTTGCTCAGGCCTAGACAGGGAAGTCGGGATGCATATGTCGGATTCGAACCACGGATCTTCCGGTCAGTAAACTCGCGCTCTAACCACTTGGGCCATCTCGCCCATAGTGCGGTGGAGCTTCAAAACAATTTACTCTAAGCAAAACAAGAACGGTAGGTGTCTGATAAGGGTGAACTGTGGCCAGGAGCAATCGACGAAATGACCCCCGAACGAAGTTTTTTAATGGATATTTTATTGGAGTTCTGATTTGAATCACTCATACACTTTCAAATTTAAGCGCAACCTCATAAATGTACTGATTGGTTCTTGAAAGCATGGTGGTGTCGTAGGTAGTGCAAATTACAGTAGAATCGGTCGACCAGTTGACGCAAAACAGCAGACAGATCTTGCAATTTGGTCTAGTAACTGAGTACCAGAACGTGGTCTATACTTCAAACCCAGTTTTGTTTAGAAATAAGCATCAAAACACCATGAATGAGCGATTCCACTGGGTTCCAGACGAGTTTCACGTCAGAAATTAATTGATGTGCAAATGAGTGTATTTGTCGGAATCTTTCCAATTTGAGTTCAAGTAGAATATAAGGTTGGCCAAAACTCGGAAACTGACCTATCCCAGTGAGTTCTAAGAAGATAAAACTTATGTTGGTTTGTCGACTGGTTTTATACAACCTTATGAATAGTGATCTGCCGACAAAACTACTGCAACAACTGGAATATCCTACCGGATAAACCGATGGGCGACCTTCTTGCAGCACATAGCTGAAGAATACCATAGATGATTTTAGCTTGATTAAGTTTATTCTTCAATTGTGCATAAATGTGTCTACTTTGCTAACAGGTGGTGTTTTGCTTAAAAGGGTCAAATGGGAATGACAGCTAGGTGTTGCAACTTCATATATATTTAAAATTGCCTCCAATCTTGAATGACTGCCTTCCCAGTTAACAATTCAAACGGACCGCCCTTTTTTGGACTGGTGGAATTGAACCCCATTTCAGTTTTACAAGATATCTATATTCTCCGTTTTTCTTACCACGCAAATCGTTTTTACCGCTCTGGTTATACTATTTTTGTACCAAATCCTTGGGCAGCTATATATTGTTTTAATTCATGAGTTTGAGACGCGGTTTCGTTCACGCGTTGACTGTTGATCCATATCGGCTTTGCTTGCCTTTTGGAGTACCTCACCGTTTGTCGAAAACCGTTGAGGTTTGTAATTTTGTATTCCGTGTAACTACTTTCATTTTTTATAGTACAGCACATTTGCGTAGCCATTCGTTCGGAGTTTTGCCGGTTTGGCTGCTAACCTTGGTGCTCCTTGCTCAAGAATTCGAAACGGTCGTTACACTAGGTGCTTTTGAGATTTGCACAACGCGATCGCTATCACATGCTGACATTTGTCTTACTGTCTACCCGTTAGTGTGCAGCGTCTCTGGATTGGAAGTGTCCAGCTTTTTATAAAAACCCTATACCAATTAACTTATGTCGTTTCCCAATGTGCACCCTTGGGTAAACGTTTTAGGGCTGTTATTCGATTCTTTGAGGCCTCCTTTTTGTCCTAAGTTTGAATTTGCCACCCGCAACACTTGAAAGTCGTTACTGGGCTACCTGCCCTTGCAAGCTGAGCTCATCGAATACGGTAGGGCAGCGATGACATAGGTAAATTCTGGCAGTTACATAGTCCTAGCACATTTGTTAAATGTTCCGACTATTTAAAAGTCTTACCTTGAGTAGTATCTCATAATTTTAAAATAGGATATATACCCTACAAACGTGGAACTGTTTAAACAGCCATTTGCTGCACATAGTTCAAACAATAATAGCTCTCGTTAAGCCACACTAAGTAGCCAGAGTCAGCGTCTTGCAGTCTGGACCGGGCTGAGTGTATCAAGGCCATAGGTTCGCTTGGCTTGGATGGTATAAAAGCCAGTGTGGAGCTACAAATGGTCATTTCTCGCTTGTTTCGCTTGCAATCCGGGAGTCCACGACATGCCAAACGTGACCAGTACAGTGTCGACGACCTTATGGCCGGTGGTACAATGTTCGAACATTCTGTCGTTTACTTCCGTTCGTCTGCGTGGTTCGCCTGCGAAGTACGGTGACGTGATTCAGGTAGATTCAGCGTATCAGTGTAACAGAGGTGGTTACCACCTGTCATGTGGTAATTACCGATTCTTTTCATGTATTACAAGGCTTAAAGCTAGGATTATTAAGCTCAGGGAAGTGACTCATTCGGACAAGGAAGTTTTGTTTGCCTGGTCAAACCGAATGGTGCACTGTGGGGAAGTGGGCGAGATTGAGGTCTATGCCACCAGCATCAGAAGCCGGAACCAGGAGTACTGGTCGTATCTCAGCGAGCATTGTTTATCCGACCTGAGTACCTGGTACCCACTAAGCGTCCCACTTGTTTGTGTTTGTTAACTGCCATGTCTTGTTGGATGTGTGGGTGGCGAGCGGTTTTCTTCTGCCGTAAAATCTATATCCTCCTCAATGTGGTGTGGCGGTCGCAACCGGTGTGCGTCTTTCATGCAGGCTGGGCAAACGGGGCTCTGGTCATTTCCATAGGCTGCCTTTTACTAATTTTCTTCCCGTTTATTTTCCAGGTACAACCGCGGGACACATGTCTGATGATTCTGTAATTTGCTTGCAATCAATTATAATGAAACTATGTTTCCCAATAAATGGCTTCATATGTCCCGACAACGCAAGCGTCACGGCAGCCAAGGCATCCAGGCCTTGCGCTGAAGACAGGCTTGCGTAGGTGAGAAAAGGGGACGCAATTTTCCTGTTTCGTCTATACCTTTGAGCGGTCCTGAAACGTAGTGCTTCTAGGATAACATAGGATTCCTTATAGCAGCATACTTTTCTTAATGTATGCAAGAGCCTCGCAGCCTACATGTGGCTGAAGCATTCGTTACACAGATGTTACTCTAGTCGAAGATT